GTTTCCCCTAAAATTTTAACATCACACCTGTGTAGATGTTCACTCTCTGAATGTACCTGAGAACCTATAAAAAAGAGACATTAGGGTTTCTACACAAAACCTCATGTCCTTTATTCAGAAAAGAATATTACCTCATTTGCCCATACTTTTGATTCAGTTCTAACCAGAGTACATATTTAGTGTATCCACTGGTTCTCATGCAGGTGCTCAGGACCTGCCGAGAGCACTCTACTTTCACAGTAGAGAAGGGCATCCGAGCTAGTTGTGATGACTGATTCATTGAGAAAAACATTAAATTTTTATTATAATCTCTATATATGAACAAAGAAATGAGTGAGCTTGAAAATGCAAGTTCCAAATTATTTTTAATATATAAAGTCAAAGAGCTGTAAAACTTGAGTTGACCTAGAAAAATTAATCTAAACTATATGCTTCTCTAACATACTTTTGAAATCTAAAAATCAAGACTGCTAGATATGCAGAAAAGTTTTTTAAATGGATAAAATTATCTTTATTGTTGCTTTTGTTCTATGGCTATTGTCAACTTTATTTAATAAAGCCTAATGGACTGGAAAGAGAATGGGCTTTGGACCCAAATACCAAACCTTCTATACTATAGTGAGAATGTATCTGCCAATTCACTTACTTTCTCTAAGGCTCAGTTTCAGCATTGTAAGAACATCATATTTACTTGGGATACTTGGTGAATATTAAATGAGCCATGAGAGCATATGCCACATGAGAGTCACTCTGTATCAGTTCTTGGTTTTGGGGCTGCTACTGTCTTAAATTCAGTTTAAGACCCCAAATGGTGCTTTTCTAAAAGAATGTTGCCTTGACTAGAGACCTCACACCCTAGGTGGCCTTTCTGATCCGTGTCTGAGAAACCTTTTCTCACAATTTTAATACTACCTAGTTGCAGAGCCATACATCTATTATTTAGAAAATTTAAAGTTTGAGGTTTATAATAATTTCCCCAGAAATAATAAAAATATTTATGTTTTGTAATTCACTGACTTTTCCTTTGAAGTATACAAAATTTTGACTTTTCCTTTTTTAAAATTTTGTCTTTATTTTTTTAAGCTGTTCCACTTGTTCCTGCTTTTTCCCTCTTTCCCCACCTCCACCAAGCCACACCCTCTCCCCTCCGCAAGCCAATCCCCATACTGTTATCCATGTCCATGGGTTGTGCATAAATGTTCTTTGGTTAAACCCTTCACCACCTTTCCCTTTTGACATTTCCTTTTACTTTCAGGGTTTTTGTTTTTTTTTTGATTGGATGGGGAGCTATTACTTAACCTCAAGGTTTAACAAATATGATTCTAGTGTCAAAAGAAAAAAATTGGCATTTAACGAATACCCCATCTTCCTGTACTCAGTCAGTCATTGGACCAGTCACTGATTTATCTATTTATTCAATAAATATATATTGAACACATATTATGAACTATGAACCGTTCTAATAAAATATACAGACCACTGCAATTGCTATGGCACTTTGAGAAAGATATACAATTAAAGAGATAGGACCCACAGTGATTCTGCAAGGAAGACCATGTTTGGAGCATTTGGCCCTGCCCCCTTGGGTATGGCCACGTAATCAGTGACATGTACAGTGTAAATGTGACAGCAAGCTCGAGCTCAATGGATTTTCCCGTATTAGAATATATTATAATAGATTTTTTTAGGACACTGACAACAATCTATGAGGAAGGGAGAGAGGAATTTAACTTAGAGAGGTTAGGATCTGTGTATTATGTTATACCAGTCATGATACATTTCAGCACGTTGACTAAAACTATCAAACTATAGAGGTTTATATTCTGTTTTGAATGACAATATTTAGAGAAAAATAACAGATACAACCAATTCTGAATTCATGAGGCTATGACATTTATGAGCTGCGTCCAAGTTTCACAACTAATTTTTAGAGAAGTATATTCCTCGCCCAGGAAAGCACCACTGTTACTCGACAAAGCAGAACCCTAGTTTTGCTGAGGGTGGCTTGGGGAAGTGCCCTTGGTGAGCAGACCGGCTGTGGCTCCAGCACACACTGAGCTCTCTCCCCTCCTCTGGCCTTTCTTTACTCATTGACTTTTCTCTGTCCAGAATATTCCCCTCAACTTTGGAAGCTTTTATCTATTCAAATCCTTCCCCCTCAATCCCTACCACAGGAAGCCTCACCTCAAACACCAACATTTTTTCAGGATGACTTCTTTACAACTCACAGCCACAACAATACATTTTCTCTCTGATATAGCCCTTAATATATTCTTTGCATTGTAATTGCTTTAGTTATCTGTGTCATTACCCTACCTGCTTTTAAAATGCCTTGAAAGTGAAGACTGTGTCTTGTCTTCGCATCTTCCAGAGTGAGAGCTCACACAAAGCCTGTACATGTCTGCTTAATACACGTTAGCTGAATAATCTTTAGGATTCCTTTGTATATTCCTATTCTTTGTACCCAAAAGAGAGCAATAGGATTTTGCATTTATTTTTTACACCTAGCTTCCCCACCTATGTCCACTCTATCAAAGTTTTGTCTTTTACATTGTCCTGTTGTGTCCATGAAAAAGTATTTAAGGAGGAAGATAGTACCGAGCACAATTGCTTTTTTATCTTAAGAGCCCAAATCATCTTGGTCCACTGATGACTAGAGAGAACTGTATCAGATGCTTCTCTTCTGGAGAAGAATGACAAGCATGAACTAGGAAAGATACTTGTGAATGGCCACCCCCTCAGATTTACTACTCAAGGATTCATCAAATATAACACATCCTGCAAGTTAAAAGAAAAGAGGATTTACATGAAAATTATGACTTCTGCTTAGGACATAAATATAAAGTCCATTAGATTTCCTTCTTTGAAACTCAGACAAGGAAATCTTCTCTGAAACTTCAACTTGCCTGTTGAAGACTATTATCTCCATGAGTTGTTTGTCATATGATTTTCCAACAGGATTCCCTTGAGGGAACAGGAAAGAGCAGGGAGATATGATATAGATGCAAAATAATCAGAGATTGAGAGCAAGATGCTCAGAAAGTCAAGGCTTCCCTGTTGGATCCATCATTACTGACCTGTGTGTAAGTTATACAACCTCGGTATCCTCCACTTTCTAAATCTGCAACTGAGAATAACTCCTTATAGGACCATTATGAGAATTAAAGCAATAAACTACAAGAAAGTTCTTTTTACATTATGCAAATGAATGTGTGTGTATGAGTTCATACCTTGGAGGTAATTATCAGTATAAAGAAAATGGATGTTAAGAGAATAGATAATGTCTCCTTCACCCTCTACAATCTTCCCTTGGTTTGAACTTGTCAATCAAGATCTATCTTAGTCTATTATTAAGAATGTATGCTGTGGTAGGTTGGAGGCTTCCTGCAGGACATCTGGACAGAATGGTCCATGGCATATAGTTCTGCCACATGTCTCTCTGGTTATGTCAAATTTGCAAAGGGGAAATTCAAGCATTTCTATTGACCTCCACATTGCTCATCAACCTGTGAAAGAAAGGTAGGCATTCATGTTATGAGAACAAGCCACTCTTTTCCACTGGCTTGAAAGTAAAAACTGTGTCTTATTTGTCTTTGCATCTTCCAGAGAGTGAGCTCACACAAAGCCTGCACATGTGTACTTAATACATGTTAGCCAAATAATCTTTAGGACTCCTTTGCATAAATACAAAATTTGTCAATCATATTTAGGATGATATTTCTTCTGATAGCTAATATACAATGAATGATAACATATGACCAAATTCCAGATTTTATGGGCTAAGCCAATAGGAATTTGCAGGCTCTGTTCAGGATTACCACCTTGGTGAAGAAGTTCCAAAAATCTAGAACCCTTGGATGAAAACTTCCCTCTAATAATAATATAGAAGTCACTAAGCTCGCAAGCAATTCCTAATTATTTATTATGTATTTCAGATTTAATCCTCATAAGACTATGAGGGAGTTACTATTGTTGTCCATTTTACAAATGAAATTAAGACACAGGCAGTTCAGTGACTTCTATGCCCGTCATTCACCAATAAATGCAAAGCCAGGGTTCAAACCCGACCGCTCTGGATCCTAAGGCTTTTGTTCATCACGATGCTGTCCCCGTACCCTGAGAGAGCTTTCCCAAGAGTTATGAAACATGAAGTACGTAGCTAGGACCCACAGTTTTCTTAACATACAGTAGGTGGATATTATGAGTAGACTATCAAATGCCTTTTCTCTAGTTTCCCACAAACTTTTCAGAGAAAATTATCTGTAGACGCATCAACCAAAACTTGTATATTAGAGGGAAAGATGTCTTGTCTGTCAGTTACTAATTCCCTCAGTTTTCCATTCTGTCTATATATATATAAAAAAAAAAAAAACCTTAAAAAATTACTGATGGATATTCTCCCAACCTAGAGTAGTAATTCTACTATTTTAAAGACAATGTGGATGTGGAATTAGTCTCTCTGTACCTCTAAATGTCAACACATTCACCAAAAATAAATTTATCAGTTAAATGTAGCCAAAATATTTAGTTTATCTAAGTGTCCTACAAAGAAGAAATAGTTTACCACTGTTTTTACAGATTGAGGTAAATCTTACATATTATTGACATATGCTATAGATTTAATTTAATACCATACTACAGATGTGTGCTCTGATAAGTTTTTGTGAAATCTAGGCTAAGATGAGTAGAGTTGTTTCAATATTTATGGGGTTGAAAATGCAGAGTTAGCAAAGGAAGCATTTTAATTAAAACAATATTTTCCCTTATATGCTCAGAGTAAAATACAGGGGAATTCTTTTAAAGAACTACTACTTTTTTTCTGTGCAGCTTCTGGGTTTTTAGGCACACTGAAAGAAGTTAAGGTTTTATTTCCAATTTTTTAACATCTTTTGATTTTAGAACCATTAAAAATAAACTCACTAGTTTCTCCTGATTTACCTTTCTCTCAATTAACTTCATGTGACTCTTTAAGTATGGCCTTTTTTAATTTCATGTTTTAGGTATCCTGAAGATAACTTCAGTGGAAATCGGAGTTGTTGCCGTCAAAGCCATTAACAGCAACTATTATTTAGCCATGAACAAGAAGGGGAAGCTCTATGGCTCAGTAAGTATTCTGCTTTTATTTTCAAACTTCGGTGTAGTGAATTACTACCACAGTTTTGGAATGCTCCCCCTACCCCAGATGTTGAGTGGCTTTGTTATCGTTCCATAGCTAGTAAATAGAGCCATAGTGGGCTGGTCGGCAGGGTTTCAAGGGCTGGCAGGGCAGCCCTCCCAACTCTGTAACCCGCCCTGTAGTTCGCCCATTAGTGTGCCACCCAGGCTGTTGCTGGCGTCCGCCAGTCAGTGCTCTGGTTTGCTCACCGGTCAGACTCGCAGGAGCATCTAGTCAGGCCGGCATGGGCGCTGCAGGCGACTGGGACAAGGCCGTTGAAAACAAAGATCTTGAATTGAGGAGAAAGCCATGTAACGTGTGCGTTACAGCTGAAGATAAAACAGGGGCTCGGGTGTTTCTTATTCTGTTAAAATCTGAAATGGAGAGATGTAGCAAGAAATTCATCATCTTGTGTGCTGTTGAATCAACTCCAGCATTGTATTCACCTAGACAGTAGACAAGAGTGATTAATTCTGTCATGGAGCTGGAACAGCCAGTGCTTTGGGTAGATACATCCCAGTGTTCCATGGCAAGTATTAAGAAATGTCACTTTAAAATGTGTAAATGAACTTATTTTGTTGATTAACAAAAGATGGAAGTGCCAGCAGCCCTCAAACTTGAGTATTTGTACGAATCACTGGATTTATTAAGACACATTCCCAGGTCTTCTGAATTAGTAAGTCTGCGGTAGAAATTAAGAATTTGCACTTGAACAAGGTCCCAGGTATTCCTGATGTTACTGGTTTGGCAACCACAAGTTGACAATCATGGGAACCCGATTCCATAATTGGTCTGGATATAGAACAGTCTTTTATTTCATTCATATCAGGTCCACTTAAAATCGGAGAGTCAGAAACACTTTAGTTCAGTCCCTTTCGCTGGGCTAAATGCTTCTGGGGTGGGAGGAGTCAGAAGAATATTAGTTAAGTTTTCCTTTATATGTTGCTCTACTAAAGAGCCTAGAAGAGTAATAGACTATTTTTAAAAAGTGGTTGCAGGTAGGGGTTCACATCACAATCACTTTTGAGGCATTTTTTCTTTTCTTTTCAACGAACATGTCCAGATCCCTCCTTAATCTACTATTGCCAGAATTACTGGGTAAAAAGAGATTCTGATACACACACACACACACACACACACACACACAGAGTCAAGACCAATGCTCTAAAATCAGCTAATATGAATTAGATTAAAGAGAAAATGTAAAAAAAATGAATTGCAATAAAAGATTGAAATAATTTTTAATTGATAAAGTACACCTTTTTTAAAAGGTGACACCGAGGAGAAATGAATAACTCTCAAATTAACCATGTCATAACAGTATTTAATGCTCTTCCTCCCGTTCCTCCACATCCTTTTTTCTCTCCCACCGCTGCCCATGTACCGTGCCTACACTTCGTCCTGAGCTCTGAGGACTATGAATTATTTCATTCTCTCTCTACACCTAAAATAGGTAGCCAGCTGCTTTCTGTCACACCACCCCATTTTAGTTATCTGCGGTGGCTCCTATCAGGTATTTCTCTCATTAATGCATTTTTTGTTGGCTGTCTTCTCCTAGTAGATGGTGAACCTCAAAAGGGCAGGATCCGCCTTGCCTCCCGCTGTCTTCTCAGCACTTACAACCATGCAATCTACAGAGCTGTGCGAAGCATAAACCTAACCGCCCCTCCAACTAGCTCAGCTCAGTATGGTCTCTGCTCTCCACTTCCAGCCTGTCTCAGAAAGAAACCCTTCCTCTTACCATAGTGCACTGTCCTGTGATTCTGCAAGACCATCAGGAAAAGCAAAAAATGATAACTTTTCAAATTAAGTGGAAAATCTCATTAAATTGAATGTCCTGTTCAAGATGGAAGAGGAATAGGAACTTTGCATCTAAAGGGTATACCATCAAAATACATGAGTACACAGTGAATATAATTCTTTATGTCATATGGCAAGTCTTGCAATTCCTGCCTTTGTTTTGGGGAGAGGTAAATTCCATTGATTTCATAAGCCTTCTTAAAAATATCTATTAGGCACCCAGAGTCACTGATTATAGCGGCTCCAAATTCTATTCTCTTGTGTAGTTCCTCTATTTCCTTTTGGAAAATGTATATCTCTCATATTTTCATTATTCATTCTCTGCACAGTGCATCTATTATATTATTAATTTTCTCTTGACTGACAGAATTAAGAAAATAAATTATAAAACTGAATTTAAACAGAACAGGCCCTCAAAGGGCATGATGTAGGGATCAAAGAAATTTACCGGTATCCCAAATAAATCTGAAACCTTTTTCTAAACTAAGACCCTACGTTAAAATCTTACTCTAGCCTAGATTTAAAAAAAAAAACCAAAAAACTTTAATGTTTATGATTTACGTAAATGCTACAAACAACCTAGGTTCCTAGGCCCTTCCTGTAGATATTCTGAGACAGCATTTGAGCTGTGGTCTAAATATCAAAGACACCTGAGAAGAGGCATCTGCTACAGGCGCATTCACTTTAAGAAGCGTTGTCCTATACATTTATTTCAGGGAGGAAAAGTAATTGACCATCCACTGCTACTTTTCTATACACAGCTCTGTTTCAGATATAAAATTATTTAAAATTATCTTACTTCTCCCAGTGTCTAAACTGCACCCAATTTATTGAAATTAATACAATTATCCATGTAAAAAATCACCTTTGCTTTGAAAACCAGATAGTTTTATTTTTTTAAATTTATTGATTTTGAGAGTGTGAGAGAGAGAAAAACACTGATGTGTTGTTTCACTTATCTATGCATGCATTGGTTGGTTCTTCTATGTGCCCTACTTGGGGATCAAACCTGCAAACTTGGCATATGGAGACAATGCTCTAACCAACTGAGCCTCCCAGTCAGAGCCAAAAACCATAAAGTTTTAAGCAAACTAAGATGAATAAGTAGAAAAAAAGCCCTACTCACAATTTAAAAATGCAGAATTTTTATCATGTTAAAATATTTCCCTAAAACAATCTACCGTTTTTTTTTACTTTTAACCAAATAAATCATGTGAATGTTACTTTTAAATATTGCTTTATTGATAGCACATAAGCACAAGAGAAGCACATAAGATAAGTTAATTCCAGGTAACAAAGCTTAAAGTAACCACATAAACACAAACTATAGCTGTTTAGGGCATTTCTGACAATTTTCAAAATTACAATCTAGCCCACAGAAACCTGGATATTTAATATACATTTGTTGAGGAATTGTAAACTAAGTGGAAATTTCAAAAAGTCCTGCGGTGAGAGAAACTACTTGAAATGCCCAGTAGAGGCCCTAACTGAAATATACCTGTAGTGCCATTGGTTTGGATGAGAAGGTAGAGCCAGGAGAGCAAAAGCCCCAATTCTTGAGCTTCTTAACTGCTTTAGTTTGGCTATAAGTGAAGAAGGACATTTTTGAAGCCAGAGTCTAGAGATTAGTGAGGTACCTTCCCTTTGTTATTAAGTCCAGAGTGAGATCCTGGATTTATGGAATGAATAAGACATCAATCCTTGTCCCAGAATATCCCCTTAAAAACACATGGTCACTTGAAACAAAGCCAAAGCATGATAGCCATAGAGTGGAATTTCCCAAGATCAAAGTCTTCAGGCTTATACAATATAGGCAGTGCTAGTCACCATATTTATAATTTCTTTGATATGGTAATTTACAAAGTAAAGCGTTCCATTTCCTACCTTTCAGTCGTTCCTAGATTTCAGAATAAAACCTATCAAAATTCAAAATTATGGAAAATTGTAAATAACTTCCAAAATTTAGAAACCTAGAATTTAGAAGAGCAGAAGACACCCTGCCTCCCCCCAGCCTGACAGTTATCTAGGTCTATTACGCTTTGCTCTGAGATCTGCTTCCTCATCAATGTGGGTGTATTTACTGTGGATTTACAAGTAAATGAAGTTTGAAAACTTAAAAAGCCCACCTTTTTTTTGTAATTTCATTTTTCCCATGACGCACCCTCGTTATTACTCTGAAGAAAAAAAAAAGAGATTTTAACACCATTCTTTATCACTGACTCATCACAAATATTGTTAGTGGCATGTTTGTTTCATGATAATCATCGTAGGCACTTAAACCATGTCATATTCAAGGCATGCTGATTTTTTTCAGGGGGCCACACTATGTGGTTATGATGGTCACTTAAAATAAATCATGTGCCTTCAAACACAGACTCTCCTTGTGCTTATGAGTTTTACTCTTCTGTTGTAGACATTGTGTATCAAGTGCACAACCTATGGACAAACGTCAACAGCAAACAAACCCTTGGGCTGGGCTTCTATGGATGGTTTGTGTCAAAAGGAATCAAATATCATCATGACAGGAATAAAAGATTTTGTTTTTTCTTTGCAGAAAGAATTTAACAATGACTGCAAGCTGAAGGAGAGGATAGAAGAAAATGGATACAACACCTATGCATCCTTTAACTGGCAGCACAATGGGAGACAGATGTATGTGGCACTGAACGGAAAAGGAGCTCCCCGGAGAGGACAGAAAACTCGAAGGAAAAACACCTCAGCGCATTTTCTTCCAATGGTGGTGCCGTCATAGAAGAAGGCAGTGCTTGTGGGTGCAGTAGAACCAAAGGCTGTTTGGTCAGGAATAGTGGGTATTCTTCATGAAGACAGTAGCTCAAAAGGCAAAGATGCACAGCAGACCTCTGCTTGCTCAAAAGAAAGGAAGTTTTGGATGGTTTTTGTACTCACTGCAGACATATGACATTCTTTTAATTAGTCTGTGTCATGCGTTATAATTGAGATAGAGGCGGATCAAGTGGGATGGATGTTATTCCCAAGCGAACAACCTTATGGCTAGGTTTTTCCTTGAGTTTTTGTTTTTTAACCTTTGAGCTAGAACTTACAGGACATGAAACAATCTGTTGAATGATCTTTGGAAAAGTTATTTATGGAATATGAACTCATATCAAAGACCTTCATTGCTCATTCAAGCCTAATGATTCAATGAGCAGTAAGACATGCAAGCATGTACTGGAAAGCACTTGGGTAATGTTATGTGCACAACTAAAGGAGCTTTGGGCGTGGCATCGCGGAAGCATTGGATAGGACTGAAAATGTACACACGTTAGTGTAAAACTGTTCTAACAAAACAAATAGTATGGTATGCTTGTGCATTCTGCCTTCATCCCTTTCTATTTCCTTCTAAGTTATTTATTTAATAGGATGTTAAATATCTTTCGGGGTTTTAAAGAGTATCCTCAGCAGCTGCCCCCTGATTTGCTTTTTTTTTTTTTCTCTTCAGCACACCACATGCATGTTCATGACAAAGCGTTTTTAGAACTTGGCAAACACTTGAGACTAGAGGATGACGTTGCAGAAGCAGTGTGAGCGCCCCGTGGGCTATCGGTTGACTTAAGAGCATGTCCGCAACGAGAACCACCAACCGTACACGCGGCAGTGCTGCGGCGTGGCTCGAGTGACAGATCTCTGCCATCGTGGAGAAACATGTATCACTGCTACGTCTTCCTTTCCTAAGAAATAGACCAGAAGGCTAAATTTTTCTCTTCTAATACATCAGTGGGTCTCCAAGTAGATACCAAAACAAGGAAAATTAATTGTTAAATTCAACTCAGTAGCCTAGCCCCATTATTTACTAAGGATTTTCTGCCATGCGTCACAGCGGCAGGTGACGAAGAGCCTGTCTTCGTGTGTAAGAACCCTTTCTCAGCCCCCCATGGTACATCTCCCCCAAAGGAAGTCTCAAGGAACTTGGTATGAAGTGCAACTTTCCCACGGGCTTAATCTGAGCAAATGTGTCCTAGTATATGTGTAACCATAGACTGAAACCTGTTCCAGCCGTATGACCTAGTCTTTACGTAACCAAATACAATTTATTTTCTGTAAATTTAAAGAGCTTTGGAAGGTTCCAGAATGTAACCGTATTGAAATTCATTTTGTTAGAGCAGGTATAGGAAACAGTACATCACGTCGTATTCTGCTAAAGAAATACATAAGCCTTATTTGCAGTGTCCGTAGTGATTTTTAAAATGTAGAAAAATACTATTTGTTTTAAATATTTCAAGTGATAACTATAAAGATATGTTGATGCTGCAGTTTTCTCTTCATATTTCTTGTTTTGAAAAGGTCTGTTTATTGTTTGGACATGATAATTTTGGTACAGGAAAAAAGACTCACTAAATGTGTCATTTTACTAAAGTTTAACCTCTAGAAAGGCTGGTGGTTTGTGATCTTCTCTTATAACTTAACTGTGTCAATGCTTAACCAGCTCTTCCAGTTAATGTTATTTAAGAATTAGCTTTATTAAGAAACTTTCCCATCGAGTGATCCTATAAAATGTCATATTTTTCTCATTCCTTACAAATGTTGGGATTTCTAAAGAAATGCATCTGAGGCAGTGATTTGGCTTATGGCTTAAGTTGCATTTCATGGTACCTGGCTTCCAACTTGCATTTTGACAAATAGGATACTAAAAATGTCTAATTTTTGTGGTGGGAATCTGCATGTTAAATTTAATTGGTAACTGAGTCTGGGAGCCATAGTGCAATGCATTCCTATCAGAACTAGGTTATCTTTGTTCTTTTATTTTAAAATAATAATTGCACCTGACACATGAACATGGACCACCCACAACCCAAATTAAATGTTTGATGAGACCAATACAGTATTGGATAACCATGGTAACAGCAGATAGGGCACCAACTGGGTTCCTGTTTCACAGAGCCATTTAGGTTACCGCAGAGACTGTGTAAACAGTCATCATTATGCACTCAAAACAGCAAAACAGCTTCTAGCAACATGCATCAAAGCTTGCAGAAGCCAAAAATAAAACACATCTCCCTTACCTCTCCCCCCACAACACACACACACACACACACACACACACACACACACACACACACACGGAGATACAGAAACAGTCTGATAAGGAGTAATGAGGTTCTCCTGCATTTAAAAATGGCATCTTTGCTCCCTACTGAGTCAGAATTCCGGTCCTCTTTGCAGCTGGATTGTGCTACTGAAGTAAAAGCAGTTCCAGCCCTGAATATTGTATATTTTTTTAAAAATCATCACAATTTTGGGAGCTCTGCCTCTGTGAGGACTGTGTCCCCCACGCCCACGCCCACCACGATGTCAAGGTATATCAGCCAGAAATGCTCATCCATCCGGGTGTGGGTTCCTGAGGAGACTCCTCATAAAGATAGAATCCGCCCCCTCCTCCCACCTCCCAAACGGCTGAACAGTGTATAGCATGTTACATTTAAATAAATTAATAAAAATGCTGGGAAAGGAAAATAAAAAGATCGTCCTTGTTTGCTTTATTAGCCTAAAACCTCACCTGGTAATAGAGAGAGAAGCTCAAGTGTCGTGTGTGGCAGGATGTGGTTAAATGCCCCACAGCCCCAAACAACAACAACCGAGAAAACATCACTCAAACATTTGTAAGATTTCTTTAATGCTTTACATGTGTGAGTCAGCTATCCTTACTCTAATAACAACCAAATGCTTTCGATTTTTCCTACGTATTCAGGTCCACCTAGTTTACACAGTGGATAAAGGAGGATGGATTGAACACAAGGATGGCTTGTGAAACAATGAGACTTTTGGAGGAAAGCCAGGAGGCTGCAAAATCTGATTTCTTAGGGACAGAGCAGCCCAATGGCTTTGATTTGAAAAGCAGAGAGAAAACAAAATACAGAATAACTTGTATCCAGGGCCCACACAAGGTTATTGACACTATTTAAATAGATAAACAGTCACGCCACACAGATCTAATGATTTCGATGTTAATTCAGGGTTTAGGCACAAAACTAAAACTTATCTTTTCCTTATCATTGCTTAAATACGCATATCAGTAGGAAGCCACGGTGTATTTCAGGGAAGATATCGAGTTCATTAGAAGTAGCACATTTACATGCAAATACCATGTTGATTAAGAATTCCTTTCTACTTCACTGCACAGGTCTTTTGCAACTGACACTAAGCAGTAAGAAAATAAAGAGGGATATTTTGGAGGGAATCCTGGGCAAAAAGGGCAGCTCTGTGTCCCACCAGGACTAGGCGTGGCACACCTAAGACCTGTCTTCTTTCAGGCTCTCCCCATTTTGCTCTTATCTCGGACTGGCTTGATTTGCTTGGCTACTGCTTGCGTCCAATTTACTTCTTTCCAACTCCAACACCCAAAACCTTTTTCCCAAGATCCTAAAATGGAAACATCCTAGGTGTGACTCGCATTGGCCAAGTCTGAAAAACATCCCAAGCTTTAGGACTATCCATCCGTGTGACAAGGGATATGGGTTTTGAGATCGACCACGCCTCAGTAACACGACCAGGGTGACAAGGTGTGGATTTCGGCACCCTCCACAATCGGAACTAATGAAGAGCAGTGTATCAAAGGGCAGAGCGGGGCAGTGCAGAGCAAAACGGTCCTTAGCTACATCTGCTTAAACGAGACTACTGACTTTTACATCTTTAAATCTTGCATTTTTTTACTAATTCTAATTCGCCTTCACCTATTTATTCAAATCAGAGATTTCAAGATCTTATTCTATGATGCATTTTTTTTAAAGGGGAAGATTGGATTTGTCTTGTCTTGTTTTGTTTTGTTTTGTTTTAAAGACAAGAGTAGGGCCCTGACCAGAGCCAGGCTCACTGTAATTCTGCAAACTTTAAAGAATGATAATTGAGATGAATGCAAGTTTTCACTAAATAAAAAGGTGGTCCTCCTACTAAGTATCAACCTATATCACAACGTGACAGTATAAGTATTTCTTTAAGTTTATCCCAAGAGTATGTACTAGTATTTTCAAGTATATCAACATGTAGAATAAAATCTAAAAATGAAATGCCATTTGTTTTTTTAAATTGTAAAATAAAAAAATAAAAAGAAAAAACCTGCTTTATATCTTTTACTATGTCTTGTGTACATTCAATGAGGTAAAAAAAAAAAACCCTTTATAACATGCATTTTTCTTTTCTTTTGCTGATTAAAAAGTAATAAAACACAATATGCCCGTATAAGTGAATAATCTACTAAAAACACCTTTGCAAACCCTGTATATTATTTAAAATGGAATACTCATGACCCAACCAACCAGGGGAACTGATCTCATTCCTAAGTGGCTAATAATGAACATTTCCATGTGGCAGCTCCATGATGGCAGCTAAGGACAATGGTTCTACACTCAAAGAAAAAGCCATATGCCAACCATATATTCATGTGGCAAGTATTACCGAACATATTTTTATTACCCTTCACAAAGAGCCCACCTTCATGTTCTCATAGAGGCAATTGCACCCTCCAGAGATGAGCACAGCAAACGAAGAACGGACACATCCCATGCGCTCGTTACAGCTGTAAACTGAACACGGGCCTTCATGTGCTTGGGCGGTGACCGCAGCTGCAGAGAACCACGCACAGGAGAGCCCGACCCTCCTAAAATTTGGGCTTCAATACCTGGTACCCGTCTGAAAAGCCTAAAGAATCTTACAATTTCCTAAATGATTTAGTTATCATGTCTGTAGTCATTTTAAGCTGCAGACAATGCAAATATTCTCAAAGACAACTTTCAAGGAGAGTGACTTAAAATCAGCATTTCATGAGGTACTAGAAATTTTTAAAAGACTACTTTTTATGGTTATAGGAAACATCTAGCTTAGGGGTCACTTATCGATTCAAGTCAGCATTAAAAATACTTAACAGCTGGTATTTAAACACAGACTTTTCAATATTCTTTTTTGGGGGGTAAGGCATGATCAATGTGTTCAGACATAAGTCCGTATCT